CACATGCCACTTTGACTGCAGGTTTTTTGTGCACCTGGCATTCCAGCTCAGACCCTCTTAACAAAGAGGAGGGAAAAAACTGAAGGCAACACAAACATAGGAGGTGTTCCTCTGCTGTCAGCTCATATCTACAGATTCACTTTTTTGTGATGTGAACCTATTCTATTATTTCTTTTTCTGTTATTTGCTACACCTGTTCACTGTATTGAGTTCAGTTGATTTTTACAGGAAAAATAGAGGCTTGTGACTGTCATTCATGTACTGATTCTTTGAACTGAGACCGCTTGTTTTATTCAGTGAATATGGCAATCATAGCCATACATAATTTCTACAGAAAATGGTGCTTTATTCCTTGCTTGAAAAATGGTCAGTTTACCTTCCAAGTTATCTACTGTATTTATCTTAGATACTGACAGAGACAGTTGCTGAACTGTTATGTGGGCACTTTGTAATGATATTAGGTTACTTATGGTAGAGATTTTAATAAAGGATTATGTGATTTAAAAAAAATATAATTGATAGACTCCAGTGGGTCTTACTAATTTACTTCAAAATCTTTACCTTTTATATTCTCCTTGAAAAATTCTTACAGACTCTTGGAAAGAATAGCTCCTTAATCACTCGTAATGCACTTCAAATAGTCGTATCATTTGAAATAATTGTCCTTAAAATGGCATTTCTGTTGCCCCGATATTCTACCTGAGCTTATTTATAATATATACTTCTCATTCTACTGACAAGAGCAAGTGCTTATACTGTCGATAGACCTGCAAACCGAAAGCCAAGCTTTATTCATGCGAGACCCATACATCAGCAATGCATAGTGGAGACTGAGTTCTGGGTTTAAGATGTATACCCTAGTGAGTGAGTCAGCTAGATCACTAACAGAATCATAGAATTATTTAGGTTTGAAAAGACCTTTAAGATCATTGAGACCAACTGTTAACCCAACACTGCCAAGTCTACCACTAAACCGTGTCAGTCCTGCATCTATGCATCTTTTAAATACCTCCAGGGATGGTGACTCCACCACTTCCCTGTGCAGCCTGTTCCAATGCTTGACAGCCCTTTTGGTGAAGACATTTTTCCTAATAAATTTTGCTGGAGCCTGTCCAAAGGAAAGCAATGAAGCTGGTGAAGAGTGTAGAGATACATGCCCTTGGTGCTCTTAAAGGTGCCCCTGTATATGCTAGCCTCTCATTTGTCTATTTTGAAATTTTTGCATCATCTTTAAATACCTGTAATTCTCTGGTTTTTGCTTCTGTTCATTCTTGGCTTTGTCCAGGGTCCATGCTCAGACCAGCACAGTAGACTGAACCTGCATATTCCTCCCTCTGTTTCTACCCCACTAAAGAAATCCTAGAGCTGAAAACCCATGTTAGAGAGATGTTCCGAAGATACAGCTGAGTACAGTTTTAGTTCATTGTCTCTTTTTTTTTTTTTTTAATTCAAATATATTTTAGCTACAAACTGCAAACCCAGGTGCTATGGGTTAACCACTAACACTGTTAACACCTGTAGGAATTCTGTTGTTCACAGTATTTTACTAGAAGCCTAGCTTTTGTCCTCAGAGAGCAAGACTTTTCAAGGTAATGATTTTGGGCTGTTTCTTAAACATGTTTTGTACATGCAGAGCTACCAGTGAAGTCTGTCAGGACCTTGCCTGTGTTAAGATTGTAAGATCTGATCAGTTACTAGTTCACCTCTTGCAGTACAAAGCCCTGTGTGCTGGAGTCAGTCTGTAAATGCATCTCCTCTGCTAGTGCTGTGAATTAACACTGCAGAGCACACAAGTTGCATTTAAGAAGAATTTGCACAGATTACAATGCTGTGTGCATAAAACTGGTGCGCTGTTTGTCTGTTTGTAGGAAGTTTTAAGGACTGGATGTTTGTTTAAGCTCTGCTCTGAATCCCTGAGCAAAAATTACTGGGATTGCAGTAAAGATTTCTTAGAGCTCCCCACTTGTCTTTCTCTTTAAACCCCCCTGAAGATTATTGGAACTATTTTTTAATATCTCCTTGTTTCCATGCAAGGCTTTCACATCTGATCAAGTCTTATTAACTCCATATGTTGCAAGGAACACTCTGAGTTTGTTTGTTTGTTTAAGCCTCAGTTAAAAGAAGTTGGGTCTTTAAATACCGTACAACAAGCCTGGAAGAGCTCCATGGAGGGGAGAGCACAGCTGTTCCATCATGGTCCGTCATGGTTTCCATGTGTCCCATAGGCATTATCTTTCTTAAACTCATCTTGCAAAATTACCTGATTCCTTATGCTTGTGTGTCTTTAGACTCACGGTAATAGGTGGGTGTTTGGATTTTTATTTTTTCCTTTTTTTTTGTCTTTTTTTTCCCCTTCACCTGGACTGCATTTTACATCGTACAGGTCTGTCATGGCATGCTCCTGTCCCATCTGATCCCTCGTAAGTGTAAAAGTCCCTTTTCTCTGCCACCTCTACCATCCAACTGTAGTTTTCAGTTAAAGCATTTGCAGAAAAACACAAATTGCTGAAAAATTTGATGACTGGCTTCTGACTCCTAATAGTTATTTTTCCTGTGGGGTTAGACCCCGCAAAGTACTGAGTAGCTGTCAGAGGCATGCTGGAACTTAGTCTTCTGCCTAACATGACCGCCTTCGAAAGAATACAAAAGCCCCACTTGCATTCAAAGACATTAATGAGAATTTTTCCCCCCTGCAAACATATTGTAACTGTGAAATAACATTAAAGTTTCTCTGCCTTGTTATGAAGTCTTTAAATGTCAATGCCATTTCTGAGACCATCAGGGCAGATTTAATGGTGGCCAAGGTCAACAAATGCTAACTGGTACCTCTCTTTTAGGGCCTTCAGGGACTCTTAATAGAGTCTCAGCCATGAAGTTAATTTGCGATGTGGACCTTTATTCTTAAACCTGCTGCTGATGATTATTTTGTACCATCTTCATTTGTGTGCTTAGCTTTCTTAACATTCTCTTGTCTCTTCAGTCAATAAACCAAACTGCTAAAATACAGAATTTCTCAGTTATTTCATCTTTCGAGTCTTCTCTTTTTTGCTCTTTTTTACTTCTTTTTATGGGCTGCAGAAGGATAGGTGTATGCTTTCTGTAGGCCACCCTAAGCTGCCAGCTCTGGTAGGATCCTATAAGAATACCTCCAGGTCTGCCACCTTCTGCTGTCCTGGAGGCTGGGAAACTGGCCGTTTTGAAAGCCTTTCTTTCTCGGTGCCCTAAATGCTTCATTAACAGAAGCAGGTGAGGTATGAAATGAGAGACAACACATAACCATGCGATTCTCTTACTTTCCTTTTTTTTTGTAATATTTCTCCCTGTTTCTGGTCATCCCTTTATGCATTGTCTAATTTAGATTAAAAGGGCTTTGTAGCCTTTATTTGTCTACAAAATACTGCAGACAAGGATGGCATGCTAGAAATAATAAATAACCAAACTCCGTCTTTTTCTGCTCAGTTGCCCTGCCAGCCCCTCTGACTTTAAAATATTTTAATGTCCTGCACTTTTCACCCAGTCCAAGCACCAGACTTTGCTCAGACATTTAGCACTGACATTAATGCAAATGCCTCCAACTCACTGGGCTCTTTAAGCAAACTGTGACATCCTTGGCTTTCAATCACATGGCAGGGAGGATGTATTTGTAGCTACAAACCTGGAAATAATAAAATATCAGTATTCAGGTGCTAATCCATGTTAATTTACATTCTGTGAAGTCTACAAGAAACTTGTAATTGGTTGTCTTGAAGGGCAGCAGAGTATATTTGGTATTTTGTTTGTTTATAAAAATAATTTAAATTATACATATAAACACTGCATAGATGTAGATTATATCTCTCTTCTAATCATCGCTGGACACTCGCTTGCATTCCTGAATTCTAGTGTTTCAAGGCTTGCTGACTGTCTTCCACTCCATGTGGTAATACCTATCTATTGTAAGTGTGAACAGAGTGCAAATAAGACCTTTCTTTCCATCAGTGGTTACCAAATTTCCCTGCTATACCACTTTCACTGCAGCGGTTTTGTTATCTTTAACAAACCTGTCTTCTGTAATTAAAAGAATTAGATCTTTGTGGAAGGTCCCAAAGGTTGTAGGAGTTTAAATTCAGCACGTTATTGAAATTAATGCGCAGGACTAGCAAAATAAATGAGAGTACCTGATTCACTGCTGTTCTGATGTGCATGAAAACTCAAATGTTTAACTGCCTACATGAACCATAGTGCAAAGATACTCCTGGATGTAAGTAGGATTTTGATGTCTCTTACATAATATCCATGAGTATAACAAAACCACTAGAATTTGCTTGCACTGGGTTGACAAATGTGAATTACAGTTGCTTCCTTTCTTCAGAGTTTTATCAGAGTATAATCACTTGCCCAGCTTAATTGAAAAATCACTTACGTTTATAGCTGAACTTAAACATGTTTTGTATTTAAATGACAGCTTTTGATGTACAACCATTTTTTACAGAAAGTAGTTGGTTTTTATCTGTGTTTCTGTAAAGATATTTCAGAAACTCTCATCAAATTTCCAGCGGTAAGTAATATCCTATTCAGTGCAAGGTGAAATGTTTTACATCAAATCTCCTGCTGTGTAATGGCCAATCAAAGAGTATTTATAGTGGCTGAATGGATTTTTTGGCTCAGTATTCAAAATTAAACATTTTCAAACCTTAACATTTAATGTTTTTTGCCACTCTTCAAGTTGATTTTATGTAACCCTAGATGCTCACAACTACTTGATACTCTGAAGTGACTCATTTTATGCTGAAGATCCTGCAGGCAGTAGTTTTACATTTATTACAATTGCGTAGATGGAATGAAATGTAGATTTGATAGCAGATTCATATCTGTCTTCTGATGAACATTTTCTTGGGTTTGGCTGTATGTCCATCTGCATGATGCAGCAAGTTATTTCTGAGAGAACACATGTACAAAGTGAAATTAATGAGCAAAGGTAAATTTTGGTAATTCACAGGAAATTGTTTTTCTTATTGCAGGTATCCAGTAAGAAGAGCTTATACCAGCAACCGTCTTTGGAGCTGGATGGTTCCTACTTGGGTATTGGGGGATCTCAAACTTTGCATAAGAACAGTAAAGCATCAAAGGCTGGAAGCCCAGCCCGTGTTGCATTGCCTCAGCCTTGCAGAAATAATTATGATTATGGGGCTGAAATTCACTACAACCATCAGGAATCTCTGAAGGAATATCCAGTAGAAAATGGCTTGCACAGGAAGTGGAACAACATAATTTCCCCAGCCAAACAGAGGAGCCCTCGCCATGTAAAACCACCTCAGGAGATTGACCAGAAAGCAAATGAATTTCACAGCATGTGCCCTCTACAAGTCTGTCATGGTTGTGCCTGCAAGCAAGGAGGATGCTCAGGGAGCATGCAGGAGAGCCACCAGGTCAGCCAGGTACTTAGAAAACACTCTGCACCAGTTCACAAAACCTGTGATGATTCTAGGCTCTCTCAGGTTTCTGGGCTGAATGACAGTGTGGACTCTAGGAAAAAAGAAACAGAGAATGCTAAAAGGTTATATGAAGAAAGAAGGCAGAAGCTGCTTCTGCAGAAAATGGAGCTGGAAATTGAAAAGGAACGAGTCCAACATTTACTGGCTGAGCAAGAAGCAAAACTGCTCCTGAAACAACAGCGGCTACACCAATCCTGTATGGATTATAACAGGTGATTTTGAGATTCCTAATTTGTAACAGATTTCTAAAATTCCTAATGAAACATGGGCCACAGTTAATTAAAGTGGGAGAATGGAACTGATAAAATAATTAAGACCTATAGCACAAATTTTCTCTAACCGTGATTTAGAGGAGAGTAGACTTACTAGTATGTTAGCATATAGTGTTGGGAAACAGCATGACAGCAGAGGAAAACAGTCGGGGTAGAAAGAAAGGCACAAGAAAAGCAGTGCTAAAAGACTAGGTAGGGAAAGAGACGCAGCAGAAGAAAATGAGAGGTTGATCTTACTGCAGGTATTGAAGGAATACAGACATTTGCCAAGCACAGAAGACATTTATGTCATTCCCCCTTCTTTCCTTGAAGAGGTCAGTTTTGAAGCATTGCATCTTCCTAGGTAGGGACTGGACAAAGTGTATTTTACAGGAAAGGAGATAATTTTATGTATATGTGGAATATATATGTATGGAAACGCAATGAAGCTCTGTGTAGCAAGGACGTTTTTTTTCCCAGTGGTGTTTGTGGAAGGCAGAATGTGAAGGCTGAGGCACAATACATGACTGAAACTGTAAGGATAGAAATATGGGATGTGGCTTTAAAGGCCTATGAGTTAGTTGCAGAGATAAGGTAACATCTTAGTGACACTGTAAATGGGGTCTCTGGGAAAGAAGGAGAAACCAGTTTATTGGTTATCACATTACTAGAGTGGAGAGGATGCGTTAAAGGGAGCAGGTTAAAGCAAGTTGAATTAGCCAGTGTAACTCAGTTGAGCACTAGCATTTCAGCATTAGGAAGGGAAAGAAATGGGGAAAACTAGCAGTCTTTTGGAAGAAGCTATAGGAGGGTTTCATGGGGATGCTTATTTTGATACCGTTTTAATATGGCAACTGCTGACAGCATCCCGTGAGAGTATGCATTACATGACCCACTTCATACATTCAGATATTATAACCACCATGTACGAATTTATCACTTTTTCTTCTTAATCACAGCCACCTGGTTACTTTGCAAACTGTGACAGAGAATACGGAAAATTAGGTGTTTGTTTTGGGGGTTTTTGTTGTTGTTGTCTTGGTTTGTGGCTTGCATTGAAAATAAGGTGTTTATATGGCTTTAAAAATACTTGTCTTAAAGGCAATCACAAACTTGTGTGTTGAAAATGAGGTTACAAACAAAGGATTATGACTTCAGGTGAGAATTAAGTAGGAACAGATGGATTTTTAATCATCAAATACCTTAATTCTGCACATGCATCTCTTTAATGAAAAACAAGTGGAATATGAAGGACATACAGATCGAGTTTTTTGGTGGTTTTGTTTCTCATGGATTTTTTTCAGCATTTGAGCCCAGAAAAAAGTGAACTTACGATAGATATCTATGATAATGTGGTTGTTAATGCCATTATGCCTATTTTAGCTTCTGGTTTTTCTTTTTCGTTTGTTTTTGTTTTCCCTGAAAAAGCATCAGGATTTACAGAACTCTAGTTACCTGAAAGAATTCTGTGAAACAAAATCATAGATGATCAATCTGAGGATTCAATATTTTTGTGATCTCTTTTCAGAGGTGCAGGTAAAAGCACATTTGCCATATTCAGTCTAAGTAAAGCATCTAGAATATAGCACACTTGCTCTTGAAAATATTTAGTGTCTTTAGAATTAAGCACCTCCTGTATGAAGATAGGCTGAGGAAGTTGGGGCTGTTCAGCCTGGAGAAGAGAAGGCTGCGTGGAGACCTCATAGCAGCCTTCCAGTATCTGAAGGGGGCCTATAGGGATGCTGGAGAGGGACTCTTCATTAGAGACTGTAGTGACAGGACAAGGGGTAACGGGTTAAAACTTAAACAGAGGAAGTTTAGGTTGGATATAAGAAGGAAATTCTTTCCTGTTAGGGTGGTGAGGCACTGGAATGGGTTGCCCAGGGAGGTTGTGAATGCTCCATCCCTGGCAGTGTTCAAGACCAGGTTGGATGAGGCCTTGGGTGATATGATTTAGCCTAAGGTGTCCCTGCCCACAGCAGAGGGGTTGGAACTTGATGATCTTAAGGTCCTTTCCAACCCTAATTATTCTATGATTCTATGATTTACAGGTAAATCTCTTGGGCATCACAGTTCTGTTTCAGTTCTAGGTGTATAACTCGATAACAGGGTAATTTTATATACTACAAACAATAAAAATTTGTTTAGCTAAGCTCAAATACCTTTTGCTTCGTTGTCAGGAGGCTCTAACCTAGTTCATGCCTTAATATCATGACTGTTTAAAAAAATATTATAACAAAAATCCATTTCCAGATAGTGTTTATTTTTGTCTGTCCTTCTGCATGGGTGGAGTGCTGGTTAATGTCCATTCTGAGCTGCTGAAAGTATTGTCATTGAATGACAAGTAAAGGTCTGACCATTTGTAATTATTAGCTATTAAGTCTTCTGCTTTTTTAGCAGAAGTACAAACTGATCCTTTTTTTTGGCCACACTGCATCATAACTGCATTTTAATTTCCCACATTTCCCTATTTAGCCTCAAGTAAGCATAGTGCTTTGAGTTTGCAGTTTCTACTGCAATAGTTGTTCAGCTGTCAAAAATGGTGCGTTTGCTGGGAAAGGGGCAGTTCAGTGACTCCTTGTGATGCCAGCAACACCAGAGTAGACAATTATGGGTAAACATATGGGTAAACAGGTATGTTATTCAAATAAAAAGTACCTCTACTGTTGATTTTTCTATCTTCATTGGAGAGAAAGAAAAAGGTGGGGCTATAAGAAAAAGGCTCAGCTGTAAGCTAAGCCCAACAAGGATGTTTGTTACTGGATACTGTGCCCATTTTCTTAAGGGAGCTGGTCCTTGGAAATCAGTAAATGAAATTTTGCTTATCTTTTTCCCAATGGTAACCCTTAGAAGCAAAGGCACTGGACATAAGTCAGCCTTCCAATACAAAAATATATTTGAAACTGTGCAAACAGTCACGAGCGCTGCATTTAATGTGATGAAGTGCTCTGTTTGTAGGCACACAACTCACCTTACTGTGGTGAGTTTCTGGTGTGATGATTTGACCAGCTACAAAACCAGCTAATTCTGCTTTTTCAGGTTTAGAGGCCACATGCCTATTTCAGAAGATGTGCCCATTGATGAAGCACCGGGAGAACTTGCTGTGATGATGAACAGCAAGAGCATGGGGCTAAGGTAATTTCTCTTTTCACTTCTAAGTACTTCACAGTGTCAGTATATCTTCTTGACAGTGGTGCTGTTGGCTGCCAAGTCTATTTGTTCAGGTGTTTGTTTCAGATTAGGAGCTTTTTTCTGCAGGAAAGGTAAAATTCATTGGCTGTTGCATTTTAAGTGTCAACTCAGTAGTTATGCTGACCTGTTTTTACTCAAGGTTTAGGGATTGACTCTCTGTAGGGTCTGTAGAGGTTTTGTGTGTCATCTCTTAAAGACACTAACCTAGCCCAGTTCAAAATTCACAAAATCTTAGCTTTTGTTCTTTGTTTTAGGTACTGCCTGTTATTTTTTTTTTCAATTACGATCAGGACATCTCTTTAGTTTGGATTTGTACCTGATGTAAAAAAATACATTACCCTTTAACTCACTGATAGAAATGATCCTTTACACTTGGTGACAGTTCCTTGTTTCTCAAACAGTGCTGAGTTGCCCCTCTGCTTCAGAGTGATCAGAGCAAACTGACACTGCAATAACTGGAATTAGAGTTAAGCCAGTTTCCAGCTCTTTATCTCAATTTTACATGCTATTTAAAACTTTAATCAATACACGATTGTGTTTTCTTTCTGTCCCATCCATTTCCTGTTAACACTGGGAGAATATTCAGGCTCATTAGAAAAGCAACAAATAAAAACTGAATTTGATAGGGTTTTTCTCCCTTTCTCAAGAAATAACATCTCTTTGTTCTGTGCTTTAACTATAGATGTTCATTTGAACAAAATGTCTTCAGGTGGACAAGATGAACAGCTGTCCTTTGAATGGCCTCGTCTTTAGGGACTTCAAAATAATAACCTTTTGTGTCCATTAGGGGGATACTGGAAGAACTGTTAATTTATTTATAAAATAAGCATCCAATATTTTTTTTTCTTTTTTTAAATCATTGTGATACTGATTTTATTTTATTTTTTGAGATTCCTCTTCACTGGAAAGGGATAAGACTCTTTCTCCATAACAACAGGAGTTATTAGTTTCCTTGGAATACTTCACTGCTTAACCAGGTGTTTGGCTGCTGTGAGTTACTGGCATATCCTCATTACATTCGATGCATTTTTATTTTCACACTGACTGAAGTGATCGAAATGTGATCACTGGTATGTTTAAAATGCAGTAGCATTAAGTGCCTTGGAGGAAAAATGTAACCTAGAACATCTGTAGGGCTTCTTGGCAACAGTTTACCAAAAACCTGCAGAAATCTACACAGCCTAAGCAGGGAAGATGAGGAACTTGTGCCATTAATAAAACAAGAGTTCCAGATTTCAGAAGGTTCCCCTCCGTCTCTTCATTCCCCTCGTTTAATTTACTGTAATTTTTCAAAGTGAGTATGTGTTCATGCAGTCTTAAGCCATGCCAGCTGGTTCTGAAGTTTGGCAGCAAAACACTTGGAAGTTTTTCTTCCTGTATGCCATCTTCAGTTTTGCAAAGGTTACCAGATGAATGCTCCCTAAATAATTTACTCTAATGTAAGGCTGAAAGAGGCTATGGAAGACAAGTCCATTTGTCTCTTTTATGCATTTGAATATGTAAGTGTTTTCTTCAGTATCAAGGGAGATTTTGCAAGTGTGTGGCTTGAGCTTAGAAGGAGGAAGAACTGGTAGGCATGCATCTTTTAACAGTGTCTTTTGGAGGGTTTATTATTATTATTATTATAGTTGTTATTTGTTTTTTAATTGACCTGCCAAATGGTTCTTGTGACAGCAAATACTATCAGAACCCTAATTGAAAAACAGCCTTCTCTGACTTCCAGTTCATACGTAAGAGCCCCTCTAGCAAACCTCACAGCATGTAACTTGATTTCAGTCTTCAAATAAGCCGATCTTAGCTTAAAATTATCCTGGTGTTTTAAAGGAAATGGTGAAAGTCCTTTAAAATACTAAACTTGCTGAAGTGAGATACTGGAGTTTAGAAGTAAAATAAATAATATAATCAAGAACTGAAAAACATAGGGTTTTTTATAATTAACAGCTCATTTTGAGTTAATTATCTACAATTACGAAAATCTAATTGCAATTTATTCTCTACTATCTGTGGGAAGAATTGTAGGCAAGGGAATGTGCATCACTGCCAGGCATAAATGCTATAGGATGGGTAGAAATAATAGAGGAGCCCTTAATGAAAAACAAAAAGCAAATAGGAATGTGCAGCTGTGCCAGGGTATTGAAAGGTAATTGTAGTCAGAAATGAGATACATACTTTAAAAGGCATCTTGTCATCTCCTGTAGGGATTAATTTTTTCCCTCCTTGAAAAAGGGGGAAAAAGATTCCACAAACAAATACAATACAGAGGTTGATTTCTGGTACAGAATTTGGTTATTGTCTGTGAAAAAGGGAACTTTTATCTCAGAGATTACTACAAAGCATAGCCAAATTTTATAACAGATGCTTGTTTCATTTTCTCTTCTGAATTATGATCATTATGATCTTTTAGTTATCAAAGTCAGCTAGCATTGTCCATCTCAGCATCTTTGGATGGTCTTGATACGAATTTGCTGTATTTGCAAGTGTTGAATTTGTCACTTTCCTGCTGGGTATGTTGAGGAGCTGTTGGGAAGAAATGTGTCCGTCCCTTTTCCTGCTGCAGCTGGGCCGGCATATGGGGCCTGAAGAGTCTTCAAATGCAGGATCTCGAGTTCTCTGAGGTGCAGCAGTCAGACCAGGTTTTATTGAGGATGGTTTTCAGTAGCTTGTAGTGCTCCTAACTGAGCCCACAGCCAATTTTCAGCTATAGAGATAGTAACTTGTACAGTTAATGGCAAGTTGTCTGCCTGTATAATTTCTTTTCAAATCTGCCCCAGTGTGCAAGACGCTTTAAAATATTCAAAATAAAAACATAACCTGATGCATTTGTTTAGCATAAAACAGCCTTTTACAAAGCGCTTTCCATCTCCCAAACGCAGATGCTTGGTACATGCTCAAGTACCCACTCCATGCGTATTCAGTAGGATCAATACACCCGGCACCTGCTTTTGTGTGTGCTCCTGATGTCTGCATCTGGGAGAGGAATTTCAAAACAATCCACTCTGTTCACCTTTATTTCATCTCAATGATGGATCTGAATGTCATGGAAATCAGCCCTTTTTAATAGCACCAACTAGAGAAGATGCAGTTTGCTACTTTGCAAGCCCCCCCCTTCTTAGAGTTGTGCTTTGTGCCTAAATCTTAACGTACAAGATGCCCTGCTTTTTGCCCTGCTGTACGGCTCTGCCAATACAGCTTTCTACTGGCCTTCTCTCTAACCTGCGTCTTTTCCTGAGATTTCACACAACAGTGCCACTGCACCTTGACACTGACCTGTGCAAAACATTATGAATAGGAATACAGCAGCTATCGGATGGCTTTAGTTATCTGCAGGCACTCTTTCAATGTGTGCTACCTGGTTAAAGGATTTCTTTCCTGGAGTATTAAAGATTTGCAAGTGGAATTTGCCACCTTTAATTCTGTTGAAGGCTTTTTTATGTTCATGTGCTTCATTCTGTATCACCCGCATGTATTTTCTTTCCAGTTTGTATTTTTAGTTAGTTGAAAATATCAAATGCAGAATTCAGCAGTACTTTCCCCCACTATCTGAATGCACATTGCTATGGTGATAGTTCCAGGAGGGAATGCTGTCAGGGGTCTTTTAAAAGATTTTTATGTTTATGGTGTAACTATTTTTATTATCTTGTGATAGAAGGTGACAATTATCTCTTGCTCCTTGTTTAATGCTTTGTTATGAACTCGATTTTTTCTGAGGCTTGTTAGACATGCAGGCATCTTTCTATGGTGATGTGAAAGCGTACTTCAGTGTTTTTGTCCAAATATCCAAGGCAATTAAATAGACAGAGGAACGCAGGCTAGCAGCTCCCCCTGCTGTTCTAGGCATATCCAGGTTTGTTCACACAATACCCCCCTCCAACTAATTTAAGAAATGAAATAAAAATCACATGCAATCACATGTGACTTGCACCATCCCCATTACTCCTGTGTTTGAAGGGAGTTGATAATTAACAACCAGTGGCAGTGGTAGCACCCATTCGGTTTCCTATTTGGAATGTTATTGTCAGTTCTTCATGGCAGTATGTGTCACCTCCTGTTACTCTTGTCCTGAGTCGCTGGAGGGGAAACCATCACCAGTGCCATAAGTGGTTTCCCAGGCTTCTGTTCATCTGTAAAATGTCCTTGGTCTGCTTAGTACTTGGCCAACTTTTAGGAATGTGTTGAATACAGTTTGCTGGGATTTTTATTTTTCATCTCTTTGCTGTTTTGGCAGACTGGCACATTAAATCGGTCTGAAATCAACTGTGCTTACAAATGGCCCATAAAATCTGTGTAGCTGGAAGCCACTTACCCACTTGTTAGTGCTCCTTTTAACACCCAAGTTACTTTCTTGTTCCAGATAATTTTACATTGAAGTTCGCATCATTTTTAGATAGGATATTTGTGGAGCGAACACTTCTTTGGCCAGTAAAAAAAGTGCTTGCAGAACTGCCAGTAGCGCAAATGCTGAATTAGGTGCAGATAATGAGTTTTTCTTTCTCTCGTGGTGTTGTCTGGCTATATATAGGCACCGCATCCCTCCAACAGATGGCTGCCAGGGTCTGTCGTGACGTTAACAGGAGAGTGTAGTTGGAGTGAGGTGTGCGTTTTTGCTTCTTTAGTGCCACGTGCAGGCTCTGAAGGTAGTAGGTTCTCATGATCACATATGCTGCACACAGCAGTATTACACGATTCCCATTACGGTCCAAAGTAACCTTCAGCAGGAAGCCTACTGATAGACGAGGTATACGGTGTAAGCAGGAGATACCGTAAGTAACCTCCATAGGCAGATGGAGCCAACCTGTAGGTGAGGTCTTCGGAAAGCACGGGAACTTTGGTGTTAGAACACTTCTAAGCGTAGGATAGTAGTCAGTGAATAAAACTGAAGTGCTTTGGTATTTTCACGAAAAGTTGCATTTCTTGCCAGTTTTGCGCATAGGTAAGGTTCTGCA